CTACTGGACTCAGACATTTTGGGTCAATGTTTTAAAGAATGATTAGGATGAACTTTTTGTAAGAGAAAAAGTGTCACACCTGGTATAAACCAGACTCAGAATTCAACAAAGTGGATGTTTTACGAAGAGTCAAGCGTGGAAGTGTTAGTGTTGTGAATGCTGTTGGTGCCAGTTGGCAGAGAGAAACTTGATATTGACCAAAAATCTTGTAGAACAAAAAGTAGTTGCGGCTGCTCCTGAAGGGTCACCACAGCAGGTGGATCTGCTTGGATTCTCCTAACGCACCCCTCCCATTTATCTGGGCTTGAAACCAGATCGATGATTACGCTAGCATGTCTGGGGGCTCTTGCCAAAAATCCCAGAACTCAGTTTCGAGTGCAAGGGCAACCCTGGTGAGGCAATGATCTAAACATAACAATAAACAAAACACTTCCAAGAAGTTCACTTCTAAATGGCTCATGAATTGAATAAAATTCCATTTTAGTGTGAGCTAGTTTGAGGTTGGACTTGAACCCAACTGAGATGCTGTGGGAAGATCTGAAAAGAACCATTAGGCCTCAAAACCAGCCCCCTAAATGTGGCTGCACCAAAGCACAAAGCATTTGGTTGTACGTGTTCTAAAGGTGGCACAATTGGCTATTAACTTCAGAGACGCGAATAACTGAATGTTTTTATGTAAAATCTTGTTTGACTATCTGACAGTTTGGAACACAAAAATGACAAAATGTAAATTAGATGGAGGTTAAAAAAAGTCTCTGCTTTTTGGACTTTTACATTTGTTGTCTTGCAAAAAAAAAAATTTAAAAAAAAATCAATAAATAAATAGAAAAGCCATGCAAATGGTTAAGCTTTGAGTAATGTAACTCTAGTCAACCACTGAGAAGAGTGGTTTTATCACAAAGTGATAAAAGAGTGAAAACATGAAGAGAAGAGAAGACAAACCAAGCAGAAAGGATCAACCGATTTATTTCAGTATTTACAACTATTTCCCTCTACTCTGATAGCAGTGCATTAATTCTCAATTTGAGCAGTAAATCTGAATAAATTAAGAGGGAAAAAAAAAGTTTTTTGTCACTGTAGGTCCAAACATTATTTCACTATTTGGGAGAAAAAAAAAGCACTCATTAGAAAATGCTTAGCAAAAGGCACAACTCATTTTAAAAAAAAAAAAGAAAAAAAAAGTGTGTGTTTACAGGAATAGTGCAGAAACATGTTTGATTGATAATGAAACACTGAAAAGCACTCAAAACCCGTTTTCTCAAAATAAAGCAAATTGGAATCAAACACTGCCACACAGAACGATCAGATCTAGAATCAAGTGCAAAAAAACTAAAAGAAAAACAAAGAATTAAGTATTAACTGACGACATAAAAATCACACCTGCAAGCTTTAACTGTGACTCCTCCTTTGCAATTTTAATTATGAAAGCCTGCTTTCTATTAGGACAGTAATCCCACAAATTAAATTTATCCCAAAATTGGCTTCATATCTAACAGAAATAAATAAATAATAAATTACAGAACAGACCACACAGTTACATAAAATAATGTACAATAATAAGATTGCATCCTGCATCTTCTTGTATTAATAGATTTGTTCTTGCAAACTAGTAATGTGTTTTGACTTTCTTTCTGCACTCAGCACCACTTACACCCTGCACACTGCCCTCTGCTGTGCAAGCTTCATTATTACAACTTTAATCTTTGTTCTGCCCTATGTTTAGTCTTCTATGTGTTGCCGATCTAAAAATAAAATAAAATAAAAAATTACAAATAAATGAAAACAAACAAAACTGAACTCAGATGATCGGGAGATGTAAAGTCTCTTTTCGTACAGTTGCCTGAGGACCTGCAGACTGAAATCATCCAGATTTGAGCAAGAACATTACTGCTCAAGTCCAGGAAATGGATGTAGTAGCTGCTCAGTGCCATCCTTAGTTATATACATGTATATATCAATAAACACCATCAAAAAAGATGCTATGTTTCATGCTACAAATTAGAAATGGATTTTATATTTTAGTTAGTAGTCACAATTCACATTTTTAGGTTAGTAAGCTATGCTTTCAGCCACGCTGCATGTCATACATGGAAAACAAACTCTTTGTTAGAATTATTTAGCACACTTTATTTTACCTTTACCCTCTTAAACATATGCAGCAGCAAAATGATTTGCGTGGCAAAGTTTGTGTATGACTGTTCACAGCTGTTTTACAGCAATGACAGAGCTATATCTTTTTTAGTGTGTTGGTTTGAATCCATGTCGCATTAAGTTATGAAAGAACCAGATGGGATTTTCCTACCTGCCCTTTTGTTTTTTTGTTTGTGGTCTCATCAAAAAGTTCTGCAATTCAATTGACAAATTCAAATTAACAAAAAACAAAGAACTAAAAACAAACAAACAAACAAACAAAAAAATACAACAACAAAAAAACCCAAAAACTGCACCCCAGCAATACTTGGCTGAAGTCCCCTTCAAGATCATCTCCTTAATCTTTGCTTTCCAAAAGTTTGATGTTCATTATGAAATTAGGCAGTCATGCTTGAAGTGATCCAGATGTGCACAGGGAGATTACACTGAAGGGGAGATTGGCCATATTTTAATCTAATTTGCGTTTTTCTGTGGACTCTTGGAACCTTTTTTTTTTTTTTTAAATCATACTTTTTGATCAAAGAGAATATTTAATAATTTTTAATTTATAACTCACGATTTTTGGAATTTAGGATGAATACAAACGTTCATTTGAAAACTGCAAAAACATAAAACTGAACAGTACAATAAGTTATGATTCTCATTGACTTGATAAAAAATTCCTGAGCAAAAAAATAAATAAATAAGTATACTGGTATAGATTATTCTTTTTTAATTTGTCTTTACTAGAAATGTCTAATGGCTGACTTACAGTAATTCTGGCAACAGGTTGACGATATTAGTACTAAGGACCTGGGAGTTTGACCCCCACAATAGCCAAAAATTAAAAGAGACGAAAAAAAAAAAAAAAGATCCTTTAGAAGAACAAATCTGTTAATTATTCAGAGTGCACGTTATTTTCATGCTCAGTGAGTCAACCACAAAACAGAAATGAAACAGGTTAGTATGCACATCATGTCTTCAATAGGCTTCTTACACATCAGGTGTGAGTTCATTAGAAATTGTCCATAAATAAATTAGACTGAGATCATTTTTTTTCTCAACAGGACAACAGGTAAATACAATAGGTGAAGAAAAAGAGCAAAAAGGGAGATCAGCACAGTGTTTCCCCTGTTTTTGGTCATGATTTCAAAATACTGGATGATTGTTATTCTTGAGAGGAAATTATTATTAAAGGAAAACATTATATTTTGATGACATGTCGTGATCCCGTATTACTGCAAAGTGCCTTAAGGGGAAACACAGTAAATTCAAAGAGAAAAAGCACATGCTGTGAAGATAGTGAGAAGCCCAGAGTTAAATCTTAACAAAAGGTTTGGTTTGATAATAGAAGCCATGACTGGTAGTCTACTTCCGACCCCAGAAATGTGGGGCTCGGCGAGGGGACGTACCGTCCTGAGAGCTGCTAAGGCCACGACCGCTCCAGTCCAGCTGGCTGGAAGGGAGCTCCTCCTGCCACGACACAAAATTGACCTTCTTTAGTGGCATTTTAAGTTATTCCATTCATGAGTTATACTTTGTGATATTTTTTTTTTTTTTTTAAATGAGTCAAATCAAACAGACAAGTTTACCTGCGCTGAATGTGTTGAGGGGCCCGGTATATCCCGGGGCCCTGGAGGTGCTTGTGCTGTAACAGCTGTGCTTCTTGAAGAGCAGGCAGCTGACACGGCATCTTTGGTTGGCTCAAGCATTCCCTGAAAGTGACAGAAACTGATATTCCAGCTGGGAAACACTGAATAAAGATACATAAAGAGCAACCGGTCCCACAGGGAAGCGACAAAGCCCAGTATGCTTTAGTACTACTGAATCTGTCCTCAATTCACAGGCAATCAGACAAGACACAGTTTGTCTGATCTCCTACCACACACACCAGTGAAGTTTATTCACATTTACTGCAGCAAGACTCACCAGACTGGATGCAAAAGCAGGCACAGTCACAGACTGCTTATTCCTCCCAGTGAACACCTTGGAATTGGGAATGAGCAAGTGTTAGGAGCACTATAGCATTGGAAGATACCAACAGAATTTTTGGTCCATTTTAGCAGCAGTTTAAGCCATGTAATGGAAAATGCTACTGATGCCTAACTCACAACGTTTCTTGTGTCCACGCCAAGACAACTGAGCAGAGTCCTGTTAGTATGGGAGCCCCCCCATTGAAACTGGAGCCCAACTGCATTGTGGACATCCTGATGTGGCCTCAATATCTCCTGCTGAATCCTGGAAGGTCAGAAGAAAATTTAAAAGCAGCTAAGATTTTGAGAAGTTATTACTTTATCTGCTATATCAAGGAATGAAATTCTAAAATGTTAAGGATACCACTACAAATTGAAAAATTTATGCACTAATGTGATTAGTGCAAACTAATCGTATAGGGTACATCTTCAGACCAGATTTCTATTAACCCATTCATGCATGAATTATGACAACCTCAATCAGGATTTTTTTCTTAAGTATTTTTATTCATCTTTAGGCAAAAAAGATTTTTGAACTTTATTTTTAAACTATTTTTCAAATAGTTTTTGACATGTCCACAAACATCACCTTTGGAGTGGGTGGCAGGGTATGGAGTGACATATCAGTGTCCAATGTAGTGGTTTATGTGCACATAAAAAAAACCCAAGAAATCACAGAAAATTAACCAATCCTAAGCCTGAGGGGAAGTTGACAGACTAGCTGATGGCTTTCCAGATTGGCTAAGCCATAATTCAGGAGTTTCTCCTCACCGCTGAGCACTGCTGGGGACTGGTACCTCCTCCCCACTCTCAGAGAGATGCTCAGCTTGAAGCAAAGCACTGAGGCCAACCAGCTCATTCTCATCTTCCACAGCTGGAACCACTACCTTTGGGAAACTGGCTTGAAGGATTTCCTGGACACGACAGGGCAGTGAATCCTGGTCAGATAGGAATATAAGATGGTTCATTTTTAAACTAGAATTTCAGAAATATGTATTTATCTTTTTAAAACATTAATATGCCTATAAATAGCTTAGATTCTTTTTAAAAATTGGTAACATTTAATAATAAAAACAGACAACCGATAATGTAAGCAGAAGTTTAGGTTTTTAAATAAAATTAACTTCTACCTGAGAGCTGTTCCTTCTTGTTCCTTCCACTCTGTCCTGCTTATTCTTTTCCTCATCGTCTACATCAGTCTGCAGGCTGCTGACTGGTGCTCTGAACTGTCTCCAACTTCTTCCATCCTCTGCACTCTGGTCATTGAATTCCGCCCACGACCCCTCTTCATCCTCCTGCGTGGGCGCCGAGCAGAAATCTGCAAAGCTGTCACTCAGTGGGAGATTTCCCAGAATCTGCACCCCTGCATCAGCCGTTTGACGATCTTCTTGAGGTCTGTGATGCTCAAAACTGCTGTCAGTAAAGTCAGCAAATCTGTCTTGCAAATTTGTTCCAGATTGTGACTGTTTGGAGGTAGCAGAATTTTCCTGAGTCGGATATTCGTAGTGATGAATGTCCCTGTCTGACTCAGTCTGGTTGAGGTTTGTCACATTACTGTTTCCAAAAGAGTCAGAATGTCTGCAGTTTCCCAGGTCTTCATCTTCATCAAACTGGTCCCAGTCAGTTTGATCATCTTGAGAAGCAAGGGATGAAACATTTGGTTCCAAATCTGCAGAAGCAACCTCAAATGACAAATCATCACTGAAGGATGCCAAGTCCTCTGACATAGGCTCATGCATACTACATGTTTGAAAGATTTCTTCTGCATCTCCATCGTCCTGTACCTCAGAGGTTTGAAGAGAATTAAAGCTATTCCTCCTTTCCCTCTGACTATCCCAAGGCTTATCTAGCTCCTCCTCTTCAGAAGGAAAACTCCAATTTCCTGCAGCTTCCTGAGGCTGATGATGGACCTGAGATGGTTGCACAAGTGCTGCATCTCTTTTCTCCCTGATCTCAGTGGAGATGTTTTGTTTTTCTTTGTGTGCACAGTGATATCTGGGCTCAGATTCCATAATAAAATCCTCTCCTGATTCATGTATTTGTTCACTAAAGGTGCTGTTTGTCCCTTTTACTCTCGCATCCTCCTGCTCTGCATTAGCCAGTGGAGAGAAGCCACAACACCAGGGGTGTCCCGCCTGCTTTGTAAACACAGTGAAATCAGCAAACCCCGTTTCCTCCACAGGAGACCGACCACCTACAGAAGAAGTATGGGCCCCAGAGTTATGTTCACTTTCAGCAAATCCATTTGTGAGGTGCAAAGAAGGTTCAGCATTATAATCCTCCTGTCCTACATCCATCTGAGCCTTACCAGACTCCAGCTTCACTTCGGATGTAGGCTGGGATTGTTCACCTGCGCCATTAGAGCTGCAACTGGGTTGATGGGTGGCTGGTTCTGAGGTTGGAGAAGGAGGTCTGAAACTAGAAGGTGACTCAGTTGCATCAGCAAAATTAAGAGGGGAGCAGGACATCCCGACAGAAAAGTCCTTAAACTCATCCTCCTCTGATGCCACCTCCCCATCACCATCATCATCCATCAGAGGCAAGGAAGAGGAGTGCAAGGGTATGATGTTGGGTTCCATGGGTTCTCCTTGCAGGACCCAAAGGACTCATGCACCTGGTAGAAGAAAGTGCATACAATCAGAAAAGAAGGATAAAAAAAACAAAACAACAGCTTCTGGGAATAATTTCAGTGTTAAAGTTATTTGCTTAATAATTTATACTTAAAGGTTCTTTTTGGATAAAGCTTATATTTTCATCTGGATCAAATGACCCTGAACCCTTGTTGGGGGGAGGGAGGGGGGGGGGGGCTTTCCATGATGCACTGAGCATTTCTTCCTTAATCATTTCTTTTCACTCTTTACTGCATTCAATCACTAGTAGTTATTAAACTCTGGCTCCTTCTACCATACTCTCTTTTCTCCCATCTCTGCTCTCTTCCTTTGCTGGTCACGGCAGATCGCTCTTCCTCCCTGTGCCTTTTTCTACCAGAGGTTTTTTCCTGTTAAGAGGGACTTTTTCATTCCCACAGTCACCAAGTACTTGCTCATAGGGGGTTTTCCGATTGTTGGGCTTTTCTTTGAAATACTGTAGTGTCTCTCACTGATTAAATATTCCAATAATAAAAATGTGCTGGAAATAAGCAGGCCACGTCCCCTTTAAATATGAATATTTTTTTACCTTAAAAAAAAAAAAGTTTTTTATTTTTATTTTATTAGCCTGGCTCACCTGAGATCAAAATAGCAGGCAGGTGGAACAAAAGACCAACTGAAATAAATTTGGCACAGCCCTGTGATCATTGATTTCCACACTTGTGTACATGGGACTGCTGGCATTCTGCAGAGTTAAATAATGAGGAACTTGCACATAGTGTACACAATGAGCAATCTGATTTCCTCATTTCAAATATCACCTTCTTTCATTTGATCTATAAAACCACCTGCATGACTCTCCACCTGGTTCTGATCCTAAGACGCAAGAGAGGCCAGCGCTGCCCCGGACAGTAAGCCGATACGGGAAACAATATCCGCAGCTTTGTGCTACTTAGATGAACAGCACAAACCCGAAGTCTTAGCCCTACAGGGTCACAGATAAGCTCTTAACGCAAAAAACAAATGAACTGGAGTCTATTCTGGTTCATTCTATTTAACAAATGTGATCATGTGAACTCTGTGCGTGTTTCTGTATTAAGCAAGTTAACGCACGCCTTTTGTGGGCGAAAACAAGCACCGCCGTCCTGCCATTTTCTCCAGCCTCTTCATCCTGGACAGACAGACAGGTGTCATCGTGGCATGACGTGAACAGCTGAATGTAGAGTCATGTAAACGCAAACTGTTCACGAAACTCGCTAATTAGGTAGCACTGATGCAAAGAGAGCTTACTCACCAATAAATAATGGGGTTAAAATAAGGTAGTTCCCAAACGGCATTCCGCTGTCCTGTTACCGACACAGAAGCTGATTAGCTGACATGGCCAGCGGCTAGCTCATGTAGCCGCTGTCTGATGCTAGCTGTCCGTCAGAATCAGCCAGACAGTGACAGGCCGTTTAACGAGCAATCCCAGCTCTTTATTTATCACCTCTCGTTCACTTCGCCTGTCTGTCAACGGTGCAGCCCTTCTCCATCCTCTCGCGGTCTCCGTAGGCGTCACCTGGGATGCTAAAAGTACTAAGATGTCACACTCTGCTCCATCCACAGTGAAGGGAGTAACTCAAGGTCAGCGTCACAGATGGGGAAAGGGATGCCTCTTCAAAATAGACGATCTTCGTTGAAGAATATCGCCTCCTACCGGAGGAAATTTATCCCTAAATTGCCTTTTTTTAACCTCCACTTTGTTACTGTCACTGTAAACAAACGAATGAACAAACTATGTTTCATGGATCTAAGTTAGCATCCTCAGGTTTGCAACTGTGGGAAATATATTCTTCCTGGTGTTTATCATGTTTTTTCACCTGTATCAGGTTATCTGTCCGTAGGAGTTGCCCTTATCTCATATCCTACAGTACAAAGGCTTAGATCATTTATGGAAATGTGTGCTTTATCACTGTCTATAATTATTCTTTTTTACTGTGCAAACATTCAAAGCAAACACATAAACTATCAGAAAATAAAAAATAAAACTGGGTCGAACTGTGTGAAGACTGGGCTGACTTTTTCTGATTCAGCATAGCTGTTTGTATGGCAAAATAAAAGAAAGTGTCAGGCTTTACAGGCCACATAGTTTCAGGATTTTCTTTAAGTGATTGGTTTGAGATTTTTAGTTGGATGTTGTTACGGTCTTTTCTTCCTGTTTGTTTTGTTGTGCCTTCCTGTTTATCTCGTTTCTCCATTTCCCCCTCCCTTTGCCTTCATGTTTCAGTATTTCTTTTCCTCTTTGCAGTTAGTCTGCCATCGTGAGTATTACCTCTATTTGATTCCAACTCTCTTCAATCTGTCATGTGTGGACGTGTCTTGCTTCTCCCCAAGTAAGCTCATCTGTTTCCCCACCTCTTCTTCCCTGAGTTCCTTCTCGCTTGTTTTTGAGTGGGAGTTTCTATTTGTTTTGCCTACTGGACTTAGTGTAACATTAGTTCTTTTTGGATTAAAGGCTTTTGCATTAAAGGCTTAGCTCTTGTTTATTTAACTTGCCTCTGCCTCCCATTGTTGGGTGCAGCATGTGCTAACACATGTAACTGCAGTAATGTTACATCTGATCTGTGTATGATCTGAATATTATTACACAGCGGTTCCACTGATGATTTTCACATCATTTTTCCCTAACTAAGGGTGTATCTGTACACATCATTCATAAAAGATGTGTATTTTGAAAAAAATGCAAACATTCATCACTAAAACAGATTTTTATAGGCACCTTTGAAAACACTCAAGGACACCTTACAAATTTAATAACAATTTCAAATTCTGAGGCAAGTGGACATGCAAAAAAAACTCTTTGAAAGGTAGATGTTTAAAAGGTTCAAAAAAGTTTTTTTCATGCCCAAAGCTTAATAAAAATACTTAAGCAAAAAAATCCCAATTGAGGTTGTCATAATTCATGCATGAAATGGTTAAAACTTATCCTTTGTTTCATTTTTTAGTGAAACTCTGGTAGAGTAGCTTTGAAACTGATAATTCAGCATATACTAAAAAGCCTTTTCTTGTGGATATTTTATTTTGCAATATTTCTAATTACCACACTTAAAAATGAACAGCCTGTAATGCTATCATGACTCATCACTCAGATGCGTTTTCAACGCATCTTTTTCTCTCCGTTTTGGCCTTCCGTCCACACTGAGACGGTGTTTTCGGTCAAGGAAAGCGCAGCGTTTTGAAAACGCTCTCCAAAGCATATACATTTGAAAAACGACGTTTTCGAGTAGCATTGTGGAAAGCGAACTGGAGCCTTTTTGAGAACAATGATACATTGTAGACTACGTCCACACGTACACGGGTATTTCTGAAAACAGATTTTTCGTTTTTTTTTTTAAATCCCATCCACGCCTCAACAACAAAAACTAAGGAAAATGCTGAAAGGAGAATGCCAAAGCAACAGGTGGCGATATATTCCTAACCGTGTAGAAATGTTGGCCAATCAGATGTCTAGACGCCTGGGCGGGAACGAGTAAATTTGGCGTTTTTTTGCTGGTTTGTCGGTAGGAGCTACTGAAACGCAAGACTGCCACACATCTGTTCGACCAACGCCAGTTGATCTAAACGCCAGTAGATCTGGAACGCAGGTCCATATATCAAACGATCACTATGAGAGTTGAAAAACTGTCTAAAGTCTTTCATCTTTAATAAAATGATCAGCGTTCTGCTCTACCAGGTGTAACAACTGAGTTTAACATCCAGGCATCCATGAAAACAGAATTTATGACATTTAACAGAGTTAGAAGTTAGTAGGGAGTTAGCTCGCTAGCTTCTATCTAAATACAATATAACATGTCCTGACTGCGGGGTTTTGGAAACAAATTAAAACGTACAACTCTGTTATCACTTCCAGCATAAATGAAGACAGAAAACTAAACAGCAGTGACGTTTGTAGGGTTACTGAAGTT